CCATTTTGTTTTTATTGCCTAGAATTGTTTTTGCTATGCGGGCTTCCCTTGACTCTTAAAGTCCAAAATCCTTAACATGGCCTACAAATCCCTGCCCTACTTTTCTCCAGGGTCATCTCATACAACTTTCTACACTATAGCTTCCCTTTACCATTCTTTCCTCCCATCACCCAGCACCTATGTGTACATACATTCCATAATCTAATGTTCTGCCTACCTTTTCATCTAATTCATTCCCATTCAACCTTTAGATATCAGGTCAAACTTTACTTTCTCAAGGAAGCCTTACTATGATCCTAGGTCAAATTTTTCTGTTATATCCTCTTACAGAATCAAATTTCCTTTCTTAAAAGCATGTATCTAAGTTTGTAATCATATATTATTAATGCAAATATCTAATGAAAGTCTGTATCCCTCACAAGGAGACTATAAATGCCACAAGAGAAAGAACTATGTCTTTTTTGCTTACTACCTAGCATGTGCCTGGCACACAGTAGCTATTCAAAAATATTTACTAAAGACATGAAAATAGATCTACCTTATTCTTTTTTAAATAACTGCAAAGAATTCCACTTAACACGTCATAGTTTCTTTAACCAATTCCAGAATGATGGGCATTCAAGTTGTTTCCAGATTTTTGATGTTACAAATAATGTTAGGATGATGATTTATGCCAGTATATTTGTAAATATACTTAAGTGCAACTGTTAAATGTAAAATTGCAGGTCAAATGAAAAGTGCATTTAAAATCTTAATGGATATTTCTAAATTGCCCCCCTAATTGGCTGACATTTATATTCCAAGCAACCAACAGTGTGTAAGAGTGATCATTTCTACATACTTAATACTCAACTTGAATATTCAAGTAAGCCAACTATTTGTGGGGGTAGGTAGTAGAGACAAAGAATGTTCATTTTTATGTAAGAGAGACAGGGTTTTCTTTCATATTTTAGTGTCATATTAAACATTTAAAATTAAAATATTTAAGTTTATCATTCCTATAAAAAGTTTCAGCAAATGAGTTAAGTAAATATAGCTAAGTAATCAGGAAAATGCTTACTGACTATAGAAAAATAGTACATTTAAAAAGCCATGTATTGGGCCAGGCGCGGTGGCTCACGCCTGTAATCCTAGCACTCTGGGAGGGTGAGGTGGGCGGATTGTTTGAGCTCAGGAGTTCGAGACTAGCCTGAGCAAGAGCGAGACCCCATCTCTACCAAAAATAGAAAGAAATTAATTGGACAGCTAAAAATATATAGAAAAAATTAGCCGGGCATGGTGGCACATGCCTGCAGTCCCAGCTACTCGGGAGGCTGAGGCAGTAGGATCGCTTGAGTCCAGGAGTTTGAGGTTGCTGTGAGCTAGGCTGACGTCACGGCACTTCAGCCTGGGCAACAGAGTGAGACTCTGTCTCAAAAAAAAAAAAAAAAAGCAGAATATGAAGGGTTAGATTTTGGAGAGTTCTCTTTTTATTGTCCTAATTAATGGGATCTCACAAACAATAAATTGTCAGTACTTTTCCACAAATAGATTTATAGAAAGATCAGTTCTTACCTTAACTGGGAAGCTACATTTTCCAGTGCGAACACCTTCTTCATCTGTCTGCCACTGATGTGGACGACTGGCCTCTGGAACATAAACATCTTTCTTTCTCCTAAAACTCTGCCGTAGTTTGTTCATTTTAACTTTTACAACCTGCAGACACAGTAAAAGAAATATGAAAAGAAATTATTACCTTCTCACTTTTTTTTTTTTTTTTTGAGACATGGTCTTACTCTGTCACCCAAGCTGGAATACAGTTGCCTCATCATAATTCACTGCATCCTTGAATTCCTGGGCTCAAGGGATTCTCCTGAATCAGCCTCCCTAGCAACTCGAACTATAGGCTTGTGTCACCACACCCGACTAATAACTTCTCATATGTCTAAACTCTGGATTACTAATAAAAAAACTAATTATCCCAAATTAAAGGTTTTGGCTTAAGGGAAAATGAGCAATTAGTATACTTCCTCTTAGAGTAACACTAAGTTCAAACAAACAAATCATTTTACTTTTTGAAAAGATATAGCTACAATACTAGTCCTTATAAAATCCACAATAAATTCTAGTAGGACTTGAAAAAATGTTATTCTAAGAACTTTTGAGCACTTTAATTTTCATAAACCAATAAGAAATCCTCCCTGCTGATCTACCTCTTATATCCATTCCAACTCCTGAAAATGGAAATTCGGACATGTAGGCCAAACTACAGACAGCTAACAGTTTCTAAAAACTTTCATACTTATTGGGAAAAACTCATTCTGAAACAATGAAATTTGGGGATCTTTTTGGCTCAGTATTAGAAGACACTAACCAAAGCAGGGACTACAGTCACCTTTTTATGAAAGATGATTCCTTATGAAGAGGAATAAAATAAAGCTTTATTTAAACATACTTGAAGAAAGGTTCTATTAGAACTAAGCAAGTAGTATGACATCAGATATACTTTCATATCTATAATCATTACAGTAATATAACAAAAACAATGAAAAAGATCCAAGTTCTCATCTTTAACTCCAGTTAAAAAAGAAAATTAGTGTTAAAACTATGTCAGTTCTTTGTTACTGCAAGAGGCACCTCTTGAATGCTGTCAAAGGCGCGGTATAAATCACAAAACTACAGATAAAGGCCCTAACTGTTAAGAAACAACAAATAAATATAATAGAATAAGTGGCCCTTTCAGAGTAAAATGCAAAATCTAAAACTAATACCTCCAGGTTTCTGTTAAAGAGTATGGCTCATTCTTTCCCTTGAAGGATGTAAGCATCTCTACCAGCCTAAAAGTGATCTTAACTCGAGAAAATGATGTGACAAAGCTATAAAAAGGAACCGTCCTCTCTGTCAGGAGTCTTAATGGCAATGGATTGAACACTAATTCCCACATGACACCAATGAAAGACTTAAAGTTTGCATTCTGAGGAAAATCATGTTGTATTTTAAAATGCATAATGCCACAGCAGAACTATTACCAAATTAGCTAATTTACACAGACAAGCTAATCTTACTACGCATCTTAAAAGGCAAAACTTCTGACAGAGGAGTGGCAATGTAAAAATTTCTGGATTTTCTAAAACTGGATTAAGCAGGTAACTCATTCTTAAACTATGTAAATGAGAGTCTACCTGGCCAGGCCACAGGGGCTCAGCCTGTAATCCTAGCACTTTGGGAGGCTGAGGCAGAATTCCCTGAGGCTAGGACTTCGAAACTAGCCTGGGCAATAGTTAGATCCTGTCTCTACAAAAACTAAAAAAAAAATTAGCAGGGTGTGGTGGCATACACCTGTAGTCCCAGCTACTCGGGAGGCTGAGGCAGGAGAATCGCTTGAGTGCAGGAGTTTGAGGCTGCAGTGAGCTATGACTGCACAGATTCTGTGTCAAAAAAAAAAAAAAAGAGTCTACCTTAACCTAACGGACTTCCAAAAAGAATCCCATAACCTGGCAGGGCTCAGCGGCTCATGCCTGTAATCTCAGCACTTTAGGGGTCCAAGGTGGGAGGATTGCTTGAGACCAGAAGCTCAGACCAGCCTGAGCAACAAAGTGATACCCCATCTCTACAAAAAATTAAAAAAATTAGCCACACTTGGTGGCACACACCTGCAGTCCTAGCTACTTGGGAGTCTGAGGTAAGAGCATTGCTTGAGCCCAGAAGTCTGAGGCCGGAGTGAGCTATGATTACACCACTATATTCCAACCTCAGTGACAGGATGAGACCCTGCCTCTAAAATATAAATAAAATAAAATAATACATAAAGAAAGAAAGGCTGGGCACAGTGGCTCATGCCTGTAATCCTAGCACTCTGGGAGGCTGAGGTGGGAGGATTGCTTGAGCTCAGGAGTTCAAGACCAGCCCGAGCAAGAGCAAGATCCTTTCTCTAACAAAAACAGAAAAAATTAGCCAGGCATGGGGCGTGGTGGCATGTGCCTGTAGTCCCCAGCTACTTGGGAGGCTGAGGCAGGAAGGTCACTTGAGCCCAGGAGTTTGAGGGTGCAATGAGCTATGACTATGCCACTGCATTCTGGCCCAGGCAAAGCGAGACCCTGTTTCATCAAAAAAAAAAAAAGAAAATACATCCTTATTATACTCTTTCATAATTTTAAATTTCTATTTGTGTATATTTTCAACATTTTAAAAACATACACAAATACAAGAAAATAAAATGTACCTATATCCTTCTTCGAGTTGGCATTCTCTGAAGTTATCTTGAGGAAAAAAGCCTATATGGTTCATTTCTTCTTAATTTCTTTTTCTTAGCAAAGCCAACTACCCACCTAACCAGTTGGCCAAGCCAGACACCTGAAAATCATTCCTGCATTCACTCTCTCTGGCCTATAACTCTACCGATTTTACCTCCTTAGTATCTCTTGAATTCATCACCCTCATCTGATTAAAATCCTTTAACTGCTTCACATCACCTTCAAGACAAGTCCAAATTGCTTACCAAGGCAAACACAATCCTTTTTCATCTGGCTTCTCTCTCCAGTCCCCATTCACATGCTAACTTCCAGCTTCACTAAACTATTTACAGTTCTCCAAACAAGGCATGCCCTCTTTTATAGCCTCTGTTTAGGTTCCTCCCTCTGCCTAGAAAGAAATTTCTTTCCCTGTTCACCTCTGGTTAAAGTCTACTCATCCTTTAAACCTAAGGTGGGAAACTATTAGAATTCTAGAAGAAAATGTTAGAAAAACTCTTACAGACATTGGCCTAGGCAAAGAATTTATGAAGAAAACCACAAAGGCAATCACAGCAACAACAAAAATAAATAAATGGGACCTGATCAAATTAAAAAGCTTCTGCACAGCCAAAGAAACTGTCCTGAGAGCAGACAACCTACAGAATGGGAGAAAATTTTCGCATGCTACACATCCAATAAAGCGCTGATAACTAGAATCTATTTAGAACTCAGGAAAATCAGCAAGAAAAAAACAAACAACCCTATCAAAAAGTGGGCAAAGGACATGAACAGAAACTTTTCAAAAGAAGACAGAATAATGGCCAAGAAACACATGAAAAAATGCTCAACCTCTCTAATCATCAGGGAAATGCAAATCAAAACCACAATGAGATATCACTTATCTCCAGGGAGAATGGCCTCTATCAAAAAGTCCCAAAACAATAAATGTTGGCTTGGATATGGAGAGATAGGAACATTCATACACTACTGGTGGGACTGCAAACCAGTGCAACCTCTGTGGAAAGCAATATGGAGATACCTTAAAGAGATACAAGTAGATCTACCATTTGATCCAGCAATCCCATTACTGGGCATCTACCCAAAAGAACAAAAGACATTCTACAAAAAAGACATCTGCACTTTAATGTTTATAGTGGCATAATTCACAATTGCAAAGATGTGGAAATAACCCAAGTGCCCACCAATACATGAGTGGATTAATAAAATGTGATATATATGTACCAGGGAGTACTATTCAGCTATAAGAAACAATGGAGATATAGCTCCTCTTGTATTTTCCTGGATAGAGCTGGAACCCATTCTACTAAGTGAAGTATCCCAAGGAAGGAAAAATAAGCACCACATGTACTCACCAGCAAATTGGTTT